CTGCTGATAGTGGCAGTCAAAATAGTAAATAGCATCAGCCATTGTCTTTTATCTGAAAAGCTTTTGACAGTACTGTGCAAACAAACATCAGTGTAAAATCAGATGTAAGTGTGGCCTACTGAGATTTCTTTCTTTCTTTTTTTTTTTTTTAAACAGTCCGCTTTAGGAATAGCGCTTAAATAAGTGTTGAGTGATGGAAAGTGTACCTGTGAGCTTAGGCTAGGAAATGAAGGTTTCAGAGCCAACAAGAGCTAAGCTTTTGCAGGAAGGGCAATTACCCAACCTGAAAGATGATCTTATTGCTAACAGTAAAACTTTCTGGTCCAGTGAAAGTGATATAGCATGTTGGGCAACACGGGCCTGAGCTTTTAATGATCTCCATTAACAGAAGGACTCCCAGCCTGCGATACTTCCTACAGCAATTGCTGAAGGTCAGCACTTTCAAGAGCAAAAAGTGTTCCTAGCTGTCAGACCTTCAGAAACTAACTTGCCTGTGAGGGTGCCTGTATGCTCGCTTAGGTGTGCAAATCTGTTACCGTCAGGTGTTAGAAATATCGTAGCATCAAATGTTAAGTTGAGCTTAAATGACAAAAGTATTTCTCTACTCGATCTCCTCTTTCCTCTGCCAGATGTGCTTCTGAGACGTTTATGCCCAAGCGACTTGCTGTGTTGCGGTGGGTTGGGATTGCACGTGTCAGTGGAGTTAGAGATATTGTAACAGTCTAGGAGCGGGTAAAGTTGGGGAACGTGACAAGAACCAGCTATTCTTTAGCCCTTTATGAAGCTGCAACCTCAAGCAATGCGTTTCCCCTCACCCCACTTAACCCCACAGCTAAACCATGGAGTCTAGTTTCTGTTGAGGACCTTAGTGTGCAGATACACACTGTTGGGAGGACAGCACCACCGCAAAGCTTCACTTGTTTCCACCCAACGCAGGTAATTATCAGACACTGAGTGATGGCCAGGCATGAAAAGGACCATCGGGGGATTTACAGTAAGAAAGATGGTCTTTTGTGCTGAAAAAGCCCAGAGCACCCTCAATGTAGGATCGGTAATTAGGTAGTAGCTCCTGTTGGAAGAATACGGGAACAAGCGCTGGTTGGATGGACACCAGCGTGTATGCTCATGTAGCTGAACATCACATTTCTGTCTCCAGAAAACTACTGATCCATACCTAGAAATATGACTGCAAGTGGGAGAGGCACCTGTGTGAGTGGCCATTTGAAATGAGCATTTGCTTTGTGCACAAATTCCTGGACACTTACCCTCCTCCCCCAGCCACCTAGGCTAAAAAATTGGTGTTTAGATTGCGTCCTTCAAGCCTGACCTCACATCTGCCATTGGGAAGTGCAGGGTCAGGCTCTTTACATCTGCTAAGCAGGAAAACAAGGCTGGTTTCCAACAGGATATTGCATTTCTATGAAATTCTTGTACCTAAATCCAGGACAAAACCTTGGAAACTTTCACCCAAATCTCTTAAAAACACTTTAAAGGTTAACCTGTAGGTTCACAGGACTTTCCGTCTTCATGAAGTCTATAGCCAGCGGCGCAGGAACACACAACTTTCTGTGGCGGGTCATGCCTGCAGAAGTGCTTGCAGCCTCCATTTTTAATAGCACAAGTGAAGTCTGAAAGAAATTAAAACAAAACTGTGAAAGCTCTTCTGAAATAAAACTGTTTTTTATTTGTTCAGACTTGGGACTTTGGACTCAGCCTACGACCCACTCCGGTTGTTCCAGGCTATGGAAAAGGGGTGGTAGTTTGCAAGGAGAGTGTCCTCCTTCCAAATCTCGTGATGAAGGAGCACCAGGCACCCCTTCGAGAAGGCAGGTTGAGGAAAGGGCCAGTGGGCCCTATGAGAGGTCCTGCCGAGCCCTGGCACAGCCTCCTGCCTCCAACAACTGCATGCTGTCTGAAATTTGGCAGCCTGACCCTAAAGGACTCCTGCAAATATTTGGTTACGAGCCACGTGATTTCCCCACCGTCGTGCTGCCCTCCTCCCCCCCGCGCTTACGGCAATCCAGCCCCGGCGCAGATGCTCAGCGGAGAACGCTGTGTGTCAAACGGGAGTAAACCCTGAACCCAAGCAGGGCTTTGTCTCGGGATTATCACTGGGTTCCGAATTTAAAACCTCAAGCAAAGCCATATGTTCTTCCTGACACAGCAATAAATCAGCGGCCTGGTGCAGAAGACCCGTTTCGGTAGGACGTTTGATGAAACGGGTCCAACCTGAGGCACGGCGAGATTCCCTATGACTTGTGTGTGTCTTCTCCCACCCCTCTGTGGTGGGAACACCGTCTCCTGGAGGTGGGAAACCACTAATCCGCAGATGCCCTTTTAATTCTCGGTGAATTTTCAAATAACTTCACAGCAGATTAACTCCACTCCTACTTCCTCAAGGACACCTCCCTTCCTGTAGCCATTTTAATGCCATCATTTACTATTTTTACAGAGCTCCTTTTCACGCCTCACTTCTAGTGCTATTTTTGGTCCTGTCTCACTTCCACGAGAAATCTGCAGTGAGACTATTTAAATTTGATGCAGCTTTGAAATGCTCTTTTTAGCGTACGCTCCTCTCTTGCCAGAGCAGAAGCACAACTAGAAAGAGAATCTTTTATTAGTGCAGTGAGTCTAGCACATTATGCGAGTCGCACAGCCCCTGATTATATTATAAATATAAAAGCTGAAGATCCCTCTTGCTTAAATTATCAGCTGTTTGGTTTTCATAAACTCCTCAACCCATCAGGAAAATATTTGCCTTTTGTTTGCCTTCAGAATCAAGGTTGTTGGTGATAATTATAATTATGAATTTCGCGGAGTGCCACTCAGAGGAGGTTGTGATAATCCTGTCCTGCTCAGCACCTGCTGCCCAGGCTGGCGTCAGAAATGGGGAGGAGTGAGAGCATGGGGGGCCCACTGGGGTCGGTGGAAAACCGTCGCTTTCAGCGGGTGAGCACATCGTCCTTGATTGATGAGCAGCCCCGGAAAAGCTTGTGCTGGGGAGATAAAGGAAGGTCTCTGTGTCAACATTTGCGCTGGCAGCCGCAGCGTGCTGAACAAAAGACCTTGAGCCTGAGTCTTTGCTGAACCCTGCGTAAGAGCAGGCACCTCGGTGCTCAGTGGAGATGGAGCTGGAGCTCCGCCAAGGACAGGAGAGGATGGAGACGTCCGCTCCAGTATCCCCAAGCATGTCCCCCTATAATCCCGCTGCTGGTGGTCTGAATTCGCACATTCACACAGTGCCTTACAGCAAGGCAAAGCGTGTACGAAACAGCCCTGGGGCAGGATGAAGCTCTATGGCCACTCTGGTCTGATGGGATTTCAAGTAGGACAGAACAACTGCAGGTCAAGCCACCGGTACGTACCTATCTCACAGTTCCTGCCTTCGTACCCAGCCGGGCACCAGCACACATAGGAACTTACTGCGTCCTTGCAAACGGCTCCATTTTTGCATGGGTTGGGGTCGCACTGATCTCCATCTTGGAGAGAAGACAAGAGAATTAGCAAATATGAGCATCCACCGCAGCTGGTGCCGACCAAGCGCCGGAGCCTCGCTCTGTGCAAGCCTCCTGTTAAAGACGAGCGAGAGACTGCCCACCTTCCTGCTTTGTAATGGAAAATAAGTCAGACCCTGGCACCCAAGGCTTTTACCCAGGGTCCTAATTATATACCCTGTCCCGCGTGGGTTAATTCTGCTTGTTTCAGCAGAGCTCCTCCTCATGCAGCATCTCAACAGGACCTCATGTCTTGGCTAAGTTAGACAGACAAAGTTAGAAGGCCTGCTTCCTCAAGAGTGGTTAGGATTTCCTAATCTGAATTATTTTAACACTACTGTCTTAATTCTCTGAAGGTTTGGGCCTGTCCACTTGGGTTTGGAGACCTCGCTGTGTATTAGGATTGAGCGCCTCGGTCATTGCTCTTTCTTTCTAAGTCTTGTACGACTATTAACTAGTCTAGATTTTTTTCTTTCCATGTCAGGGCTTTTACTTTCACAGTTGCCTACGGCTGAGAAGCTGAGGCTTTAATAAAAATATTGCAAAATGAGTGTTCTAACACTTTGGAAGAGTAAGTCAGTGACATTAAATTTGTGTGCTTTGAAATGGTTATGCAAAGGCCAGGAGGAGGGGGAACGTCTTGATGCGTTTGTGTCCTGCCTGTAAGCGTGGCTGTTAACGGTGCTTTCAGGAACGGGCCGGAATGCAAAAGGCAGGTCTGCAAACAGCGACAAAATGGTTTTGCCTTGTCTAAGACGTGGTGTCGGGGTTTGCACCCAGGGTCTGGATCGCAGCTGCTATTGCTGCCTGCTGAGGGCGATCGGGGCTTGGTGCTACTTGGGTGCAGCGCAAGGGGTGAGCTCCCGGGGGCTGCACATCTTGGGAGCAGCAGCCTGTAAGCTGAACAGTAAACCAGGCGCTTTGGGTGATCGGGGAATATGTGGCACTCACGATTTTTTGAAAGGCTAATTCATTACAGTGGCAGGGAAACAAATGCGGCGTTGAGATTCATCTGTTGGTTTTTGAGAGGACGGTCCGATGATGCAAATGTAACTTTTTTAATTTATAGTCTGGACTGAATAATCTGAATTATTTAAGGCTTTTTAGTGAGATGTTCTGGGCACTTTGCCAACCAACAAAGCAGTTCGTTTAGTGAAATGTCCTTAAAATTAGTTTCAGATGTTTCAGTGGGCATTGAAACCTTTTTGGTAAGGGACCAAAAGGTGGAAAGATGGTGAAAAGAAAATGGTGAAGAAGAAGCAAGGGTTTGGGAGCACTGGTGTGAATTGCAAACAGCTATTTGCTATGGTCATGCTGAGCCTCCACTTTAATATGGCATTTCCAGGGATTCACGTTGTGCTTGCATGAGGCTGTGCCTTATCTGAAGATCTCTGCTTGAGAACAGAGCATTTGCTGTTTGCTGAAGGGATGTTAATTATTGCCGCCGTGTTTTACTCTGTAACACCTCTGAAACTGGAAGTCCAGAGCGTGACCTGGGCTCAGCGGATCCAGTGGTCTTTGTGAACTGGTTTTGTTCTGTGAGGTTTTTGAAGTTTATTCAAAAAAACCTGTTTGAACAAAGAATTTATTTTTTCGATGGTAATAAAAATAGTAATTTTTTTGCAATTTAAATACAAACGGGACAGGCCCAGGATTGTTTGTGGCTGCAGGATTTAGGGTGCATGACTCTGACTAGCTCTGTCATTCCAGCATTCAGAAACTGTTATACATTTATTTCAATAAACATCTGCTACTTATGCATTGAGAGATGAATATTATGCACTTGAACATGAAGAAAGCAGCTCTTACCAATGTATGTTTTCCAAAACTCCATCTGCAAAGGAGAAAAAAAAAAAAAAAAGACATTTCCTTTGATTTCTAATTTCTGGGCACTGCCTGACTGAAGTAGTAAAGGGATGACTCCAAAGCTAAAGCAAAAGGCTTGCAGGAAAACAACCACCTCCGTAATACCAGCGGTGACCAACAAACCTTTAAAGCAGTTCCCCAGCCCAACTGAGCGATCAGCAATGAGGATAAAACACCATAGATGCTGCACTTGGCCCCGGCAGGTTTTCCCCTCGCTGCCCGCTCTGTGCCCCACCTGAAAAGCTGGTGAAGGTGCAGGCTGGGGGGAACGAGGTGTTGCCGTTTTGCAGCAGCAATACTCACTGTTTTCTCTGTGTTTTCAAACACTTCTCGGGCTTCCTCAAAGCTGCATTTTTCTTCTATGCATTCTCTCTCGAGGTTCCCAGGAATAACCTCTTCCAGTCGGTTTGAATTGGCTCGCTTTTGCCTGCGCAGAACCGAGCTTGCCTCTTTGTTCTCGATGAAGACTGCAGTGTGAAAAGAAACGGGGGCTAGAGGGGAGCACGCGCTGTCGTGTGGTGCAGCTGGGATGGGCTCTGCTCCCCCCAAAAGCAAGCCTTTTTCATGTGTTCACCCCCCCATTGCCCCATGACCACAGACATTTCAGGAGTGTTATCATCTGCTTGAGGTTTCTTTGGTGTCTAACTTAAGTGCAAACCAGAGGATCAAATCTGGAGAACCAAGGGTCAAAGTAGTCGACAGACAGAAATGACTGATGGTGAGAAGGTGATTAGGAGCGCTGAAGTTCGATGCTTAAAATACCCTAAAGCAGACGGTGTGCGTATCTCCTATCTTAGATGCACAGAGCGGAGTAAGCTATTTGACATGCTGCTGCTCGGTGAGGTCTCGTCTGGACACAGAAATTGTCCTGCTTTAACTGTCTCTGCCTGTTTGGCTGTGAAAGGCGCTGGGGCCCTTGGAAGCCATTGGCCATTTGCTCCTCACCCTTACCCATGCGGCTGGGTACCACCGTTTCCTGCTGGCAGGAGGGGTGACATGAACCCTCCTCAGCCCCTGGGCCAGGTCATGTCAACGAGGTGGTGTTCATCCACCTTCAACTTGCTGGCCAAGCTCCTGGGCAGAAACCACCGGCAGAGAGCTGCTGGCACGGCAGGAACCCCCGGTCTAGGCGGGAAGTCTGCAGTGGCCACCAGGCGTCCCGTGGTGGCTGCCTGATGAAGGGCACAAGGACATGCAGTCCTGTCATGCTGCTACCATGAATGTTCTCCTGGCAGGGCCACGTGTCCCATTGGCAGCGTCAGCAGCAGCAAACTCC